CACACACACACACACACACACACACACACACACACACACACACACACACACACACACAGAAAAAAAACCACCAACTCTCTCTCGCTCTCTCTCTCTCTCTCTCAAACACACACACACACTCCCACCAGTTTAGTGGGGATCGAATCCACCCCAGCAACCTATTCGCCATTTCCAAAGATTCAAAAAAAAAAACGAAAAAAAAGGTGGGAGACCTATGGTTCTCTCCCACCAGTTAGCCCTGCCCGCATTAGTGGGGATCGCATCCACCGCAGCAACCTGTTCGCCATTTCCATAGATTTAAAAAAAAAAAACGAAAAAAAAGGTGAAAGATCTATGGTTCTCTCCCACCAATCATCCCTGCCCACATTAGTGGGGATCGAATACAGCGCAGCAACCCATTCGCAATTTCCAAATTTTCAAAAAAAAAACGAAAAAAAAAAGGTGGGAGATCTACGGTTCTCTCCCACCAGTCATCCCTTCACACATTAGTGGGGATCGAATTCACCGCAGCAACCTATTCGCCATTTCCAAAGATTCAAAAAAAAAAACCGAAAAAAAAGGTGAGAGACGTATGGTTCTCTCCCACCAGTCAGCCCTGCCCGCATTAGTGGGGATCGAATCCACCGCAGCAACCTATTCGCCATTTCCATAGATTCAAAAAAAAAAAACGAAAAAAAAAAGGTGGGAGATCTATGGTTCCCTTCCACCAATCATCCCTACCCAGTTTAGTGGGGATCGAATCCAGCGCAGCAACCTGTTCGTCATTTCCATAGATTCGAAAAAAAAAACGAAAAAGGTGGGAGATCTATGGTTCTCTCCCACCAATCAGGCCTGCCCATATTAGTGGGGATCGAATCCAGCGCAGCAACCTATTCGCCATTTCCGTAGATTCAAAAAAAAAAAACGAAAAAGAAGGTGGGAGATCTTTGGTTCTCTCCCACCAATCATCCATGCCCACATTAGTGGGGATCGAATCCGGTGCAGCAACCTGTTCGCCATTTTCATAGATTTAAAAAAAAAAAAAATGAAAAAAATGGTGGGAGATCTATGGTTCTCTCCCACCAATCAGGCCTGCCCACATTAGTGGGGATCGAATCCAGCACAGCAACCTATTCGCCATTTCCATAGATTAAAAAAAAAAAAACGGAAAAAAAGGTGGGAGATCTATGGTTCTCTCCCACCAATCATCCCTGCCCACATTAGTGGGGATCCAATCCAGCGCTTCGATTTTTCTACATATTTCAAATACATACATATATATATATATATGAAAGGTGGCACCTCACACCTCCTCGTACCTTTGGTTGCCATGGCCGATTCACACGCTGTATGGAAGCACACGCTGGGCATCTCTCTCTCTCTCTCTCTCTCTCTCTCTCTCTCTCTCTCTCTCTCTCTCTCTCTCTCTCTCTCTCT